ATTGGTTCGTCCATGTAGGAGTAAATTTCTATGTCAGCGACAAAGAACGTCATTGGCAGCTAAACAAAATCCACAACAATGAATTGTATGCATTATAGTGCTGCAAAACCTTGCAACCATACTATAAGTGAGAGAAAATCAATATGGAAAAATTGGGTTGCCCAGAAAGTCCTAAAACACCTCGAACAAGATTTTGGATTCACAATCTTTCATTAAACAGGACATGTGATCAAAAACAGTACCACCATCAGCGTCCAGGAAAACAGCCCCATTTCAGGCTTCTCAAGTCTCATTCGGTAGATTTTCAGCGATGGCTACGAAAAGGAACGATCAGCCCCTTTTTTCGAGTTGATATCGATCATCGAATTTTTCATCATCTTAAGGTGTTCGAATGCCATAAGCAGTGAGGTTGAGAAGGCGTTAAGTCCGTCGAATAAGCTGAGTGCTGAGTATTTCGAAATTCTAGTCTGCCATCCCAACGCTAGAGCAGAAACTCGTATTGACGTAATATGAAGATGTTGAACATTTTTATGTGGATTTCGTGCGTAGTCGGCTAAGTTTAGAAGTGGTCAACGTCGACAACGGCCATTACTATAGTGGAGGTAACGCTAAGGTCTCTAGAGCATCCTTCTGCAGCCTAATCAGGACTGATATACAAGTTTTACTTTAATTGAGGAGTAAAGACCATTGAGTTCAACTTATCCCCTTGACGCAACTGTTGCGATACCCAATGCGAACTTAATACCCTGTAACGAAAACCCCAGAGATCCTCAATAAGTGACAAATGAGTGCAGCCTAGCATTGTTGCCAAACCCACTGGCAGCGTTGGGCTGCTCAACAAGTTGAGTTAATACTCATCATTCCTTTCCTACGGAGGTCAGAACGTTGCTATCATTCGAACGAAACATCTCCACTTACAGGCCCAAGGACCAACGGGATACTATGCCCCACTGAACGTCCTCCCTCCCGAACGAGGCACATTTGCGCTGCAGCTATTCCTACATAGTGGCCTTATAGGGATCGCGAAACACAATAGGTTAGAAGGCAGTCTGTTTTAGAAAGGAGTTTGGAACGGCAGAACGTCGCTTTGACATCCAACACAGCAAGAAGAAATCAAAATCTCTTTTCACGAACCTCACGTAGCGAGATAAAACCTTCGGAAATGAAGTGTTTAAGTCGTCCAACTGTAGCAACGAGTATCGTAGCGCCCTGAATTTTCACAAAATTCTACTCAGAAAAAACCGATGGAACTAGCACTCACCCGAATTGACTGACGCTGAGAGAGGACAGAAGTTCCTCCGTAACAACAACCGACACGTATTACCGTTTTAAACGCAAACTTTCGGCCTTCATTATAGATTTGCACAGCGAGCTTCCCGAGTAGGTGCAATGATAAGGCATCCTACATTTGAATTACAATTACTTCCAGATGCAACACAGCTCTCATTCATACCTAGGGCAGCATGTGCTCTCTGCAGAGTTGCTCAAGTTTCCAGCGCGCATTAGAGCTGTCATTACTGGCAAGAGGAATGCAGCCGTTTTGCCAGAGCCAGTTTGAGCACAAGCCATAATATCACGTCCTGCAAACAACTAACTCATAACCCATTGCGAGGATCGTTGATAGCCAAAAGCAAATATCTTGACCACAAAAACTTGCATAACCAGTAACCATCAAAAAAGAAATCCCAGCAGACGTTTCTTGCCACAACTCATGTCAACTCATATTTTTTGCTGAGTTTTGATACGTTATCATCAGTACTAATAAAAAATGTTTCAAGAGCTCAAACTTTTGGAAGGAAAAACCTCTTAATTATTCCAAGGCTAATTTCTCACAGTTTTCCAAATATGATAAAATCCCACCCATTCGGACACTTGAACAAATAGCTATACCATTGTGATATAAAGATATAGATCCACTAACTAACAAAAGAAAACTGGGATACAACACCGGATCAGGAAAAAACACGGAGGTTTGTTTGAATTTTGCCACTTTATTGTTTTGTTTTAGAGAAATAAGCATGACTTCTGGTGTTAAGTGTCTCTCGCCTCTAAATGTCAAAAAATTAGGAAAAATATCACATCTGACATGAGTCATTTTGAAAACGTCTGCTGCGATTCTTTTTTAGCGATACTGTTTTAAGCAAGTTCATCGATTATCATCCTCGAAAAATAGCCCAAAAAAATCTCCAGAACTTGGACAGACGAATACCAATCTTTGAAAATAGCAGGCATGGCATATTGTTGTATAGGAGTTGGATGTTTGTATCCTGCACTCACTACATTCAGCGCTAGCTGCTCCGTCAACTCCAACTCGTCAAAAGATCTGAAAAGAACCAGCCGCATACAGCCACTGAACAGCGCAGATAAGCATTATTCCAGTAATAAAGCTTTTTTACGCCAGCAAATTTATGCACTGACTTGATTTGTTTGCCTTTCTCCGATCTGCCATGAAGTCCACCTTCTGTTAAGGTTACATCAGCTTCGAATAACTTTGTGAACATTTCGCCTTGCTCGATGTGGTCCTTGAACAATGTTTCCACGTCCTCATCTTTTGGAACAAAGGTGGAGGGAGGCTTTTTTGGCACTTCATCATTTTCGATTCTTCGTGACTTGGGAGGATTTGTGCATTCACGGGATAGGTGGTCCTCTGCTCCGCAGTTGTAGCAGGCATTATCTTAACACACGCTTATGGAACTCAATTACCAATCGAGAATACGAAAACTTAACACTTTACAAAGCTCACTTTTTGGCAATGGACACTCGCTGGATCGATGCCCTTCTTGTTTGCAGTTGAAGCATCCGGATGGGCGTTCTTGAATAGATAAACAAAAATTTTTACGGCATTTTGTCTTGTGACCACAAAAGCCATTACTAAAGTGCTCCCTCATAAGTTATGATCAAAAGCCCTCAAGTCCAAAATGATTGACGAAATAAATTAGTCACCTTTCCGTTCGACGTTCTCTCCAAATCCTCCACCGTTGAAATCGTCTCCGCCTTTTCTTTCACCGAATCTGCTGGGCGACCTGTCACCGAAACCACCGCTTTTCCAGCCTCCTCCAAATCCGCTCTCTGCGCTGTCACCAAATCTGCTGGTAGACCCTCTCTCAAACCCACCAGCTCCAAAGCCTGATCCACCGAATCGTTCTTAAATACGACAAAATCATAACTCCTGATTAATGGAGCTTCATCCGGAAGAAATATGACATTTGACTAGTATTCAAATGCTACAACTCCAGTGGGGCAAGCAGCACTTGCTTCTGCAATTACATTCATCTGATGGTCTTGTTGAAGTGCGTTATGCGTGCCCTCGACGCCGATACTATTTGATAGTATACGTCTCCCCAGTACAGGTCGTTAGAAAATTGCACAAAGAGGCCACCCATACTCAGTCTTTCAACAGGAATACAAAATTCATATTTGCTGCGGGCGCCGTTCGGCGCTACTCATTCTTTACATATTCGCGATGACGAACGTTGGGGGGGGGGGGGGGGTTGGAATGGCGCCGCCGCCTCACCCCAAATCTGTGGATATCGTGCAATAAATGAACAAAATCATGAATATTACAAATTACAGCGATGGTCAATGCCTAATAGTGATAAAAGGGTATTATGGTGGAACTTTGATCCAAAAAAGACTTTGACCTCGAATTTTGTATTGACAACGCAAAATTTATCAACATTCGTTGCAGTGGGATATGAAAAGCGTTTCTGCCTCGTTTGGTTCAAGAGAAACACGTACCTTCCCTCACAAAACTTTGAATTCACTTTTGGTACTTTTTTCATACACATGTTCATGGGAATACAAAGAGAAAGAGAATCAACCTAACCAAAAATTCAGCACGGCTCAGGAAACCTATTTCCAATTGAAGCAGATTAATTCTTACTGTAGATCACAGTGTTTGAGGTTACGTATTATGTTACCAGCAAATGACAAGGCAATCATTTGCTGGTAGGCCATATGGGCTACTACCGTCCCACGAGCATGGTTAACTGGTAGCCCATGTGGACTGCCATTCGGCGTGAATGTGTGGAATAACATTGCCTCACAACTTTTCCCACAGCTTAACTATAGCTGCATGGTTATAGGTGAGCTGGGGAAAAGTGTGAGGCCAATGTCAGACTTCGCGATTCGAGCGATTCGCGGGCGTCCGCGGTCACGTTACGTTCTCAGCCAATCGACTGTAATACGATCGCTGTCCACGACGCGACTGCGGGCTCTAGCGAATTGCTCGACTCGCAAACTCTGACATCGGCCTAATGAAGATTTGGCGACAAAGATAAGTAAGATACTGAACCAATGCAACACCCCTATAACATTCCATTGGGGATCTTGTACACTGGGGTTGTAATGGTCGAGCAGTATAATAGAATGAATCTGCACACGAAAACATGTATGTACCGTGATTGTTCTGCGACTTTTTAGAGTTGGTGCAGTCACGCGACTGGTGTCCCGCTTCGCCACAATTGTAGCATAAGGACGGGCCTTAAAACAATTAGGAATACGGAAGCAGCTTCATTTCCCTTACTGCATAAAGCTCAACGCAAGCAATGAGAGAAATAAGCTCAGAACTGCTCACCTTCTCCGGTCCGCCTCGATCCTCGTCCAAATCCGCTACTTCCAGAGCAAAATTCAGAAGTATCTTCAGAACCAAAGCCTCTGGCATTGTTGTCAGCTTCAGAACTTCCATTGTCTCTTCTGCCAAAACCGCCAAAACCACTGCTCTTTGCGGAAGAGAAGCCAAATCCTCCTCCAAAACTGTCACTTTCAGAACCATTGAAGCCGGAACTACCTCCCCTGAAGCCGCCTCGGATGCCACCTCGCCCTCTGGAGCTTCTTCCTGCGAACTCTCCATTTCCGAAACCATTGTCACCACTTCCATAGTCACTATCTCCTACATCACGATCAGCATTTCTGGAGCTAAGCGTTCCACCTCTACCTCTGGCACGTCCGCCTCTGCCATCTCGGAAACTGCTTTCACTGTCGCCGATGTCACCATCAGCGCCTCCAAAACAGCTATTCCTGGATCCAAAAGAACCACCTTCTCTTGCTCCGAAACTTGTAGATCTTCCGGTAGCTTCTTCACTTCCAAAATTGACATGACTTCCTCCGAAGCCGGTACCTCTAGCAGCAAAACTACCGCCTCCTCGTCCTCTAACTCCACCGCCCCTTCCAGAAAAACCTCCACTTCCGAAACCGCCGCC